TTCTCAGCGAGGCAAAGGGCTCAACGTCTGGAAGATGCTGAGAAAGTTGGCTGGAAGTTCCCACCCTCTCGTGGTCACACGAGAGGAGTGAGGAGTACGTACTGAGGAGTACGTACTGAGGAGTACGATGGAAGTCTCCCACTGTTACCCACTGAATAGAACCAGAAGTGTGGGATGGTTCAGGGTGGAGAGAATTACTTTGCTCCAGGAAAGGTGCAGGAAAGCAAGGTGAGTTGAGAAAGAAAGATGCTATTTAGAGGGTCCTAGTCTAGTCAAGGCTCTGCCCGCATCAAGCTGTTGTGACCCCAGACAGGGAATTAGCCATCAGGACATTTGGTTACTGATCTATGAAGCAGGACCAGGCAGGGCAGCTCTGAGCAATCTGCTAGTGGTTTTCTGAGGTGTGAGGCCACATTCAGCTCAGGCGAGAGGTGCCACACTGGGTTCAAAATGGCAGATATAGAAATGGGAAGAAATGGAAGTGTGCCGTGGACTTGCCATCCCAGACCAGGCAAATCACTTAAAGCTGTTCTACTTACAGAGTCACCAAAGCTCAGACTTGGAAAGGACCTTAAAAGTTATGTGGCTCCGGTTGGGTGCTCAAATCCCCTCTCCAGCATCCCTGACAAATGGCCATTCAGCCTCTGCTGAGACCTCCAGTGATGGGTCAGTCACCACTGACCACAGAGCCTTCTACCTTCCTAAGGCTCTCACTTGTAGAAAGTTGGTTCTTCTACAAGAGCTAAAATCTGCCTCCCTGTAGCTTCTACCTCCTGGTCCTAGGATGGCTCTCATAGCACTATCCCAACTCTCTTTTTCTCCAAGCTAAATACTCTCATGAAGTCCTTGTCACTGTTTTTAACAGTCTGCACCCCTCCTCAGGATTGGGCATGCTTATCTGAATGTTATACATTATCAATATTCTTCTTAAAGTTTCCGACTATCGCAAACACAATGTGGTATGACTCTCACCAATGTTTTCTCCTTCTATAGCCTAAATGTATCATTTTTTCTTTTCCTGTGTTTTTTTTGGGTGGTTCCATCCCACTTTCTTGACTCACATTAAGCTTAGTCAACTGAAACACTTACGTCTCTCCCGCCTTGAACTTGTATAGTTTTTTTTCCTTTTTTAATCCAAAGTTAGGACTTTATGTTGTTTCCTGGTGAATTTCTAAGATGCAGGTTTTGTTCTAGTCTCCCAGATCTTTTTGGATCCAGGACCTGTCACTCAAGCCATTAGCTCTCTGACTTCGTGTCATCCACCAATTTCATCAGTAAGGCATCTAATTTCCTATCTAGGCCATATTAAAAATATTTTATATGACAAGAAGTAAATGTTGGCCTCCACCTGCCAGGTTCCTTCAGCTTTGATTATTCACCCTGTTTTAAGGGAACTCATGTTTATTTTTACCACTTATGTCTTCCACATTAGAAAACTAATGTTCAAATTCTAAAATGCCTATATTAAAAAAAAAAAGAGCACCACTGGTTTAGAAAGGTACTAGTAACATCTGGATTTCTCTCTCTGCCACACAACTTGATAAAAATAAATTAAGCTAGCATCTCTCATTTTTCCTGCCTCTGTAAGGCCGTTCTCTGTAAAGGAAAAAGAGTGTTGAATGCTAAACACTTTGAGGATAAGTAAATGATGCATACTCAAGGAAATGAAGAAAAAACAAAAGTCCAAGAACCATTGACCAGAGAAGTAAGGCAAAGGGACAGATGGGGGCAGTTCTGAGTGCTCCCGTCACACTGTAGCTCCCTGAGGGCGGGATGGGCCTTGCTCCTCTCGGTTCCAGATTAGCTGGAAAGCAGCGGGCACTGAACATGCCTTTAATGAACTGAACTGACTCCCTCTAGTGGCTGGGTTTACAAGGTTTTTTTTAGTGTATTTTTTACGCTATTCCTTTTCTATGGGGAGAAATGCAAGTCAACGTGAGGATAGGAAGAGTCAACTGCGTTAATGGCCTTTGCCTAGGCTGCAAGGGGTGCAATTTCCTTCTCAAGTAAGAGAAAGTGAAAAAGCAAACTATGTCTGTCTGTATTTTTGGTTTCGATTTGGATGTCTGTTGATTTTTGTGAGAAAAACATATGACGGCTTTAATGCATCTAATTTTAAAATTCAGAGCAGGGAATGAGGCAATTCAGTACACAGAAAAAAAGGAAGCAGGATGAAAATGTAAATTTCAGTTCTGCATTACAGCCACTCAAGGGAACTTGGAGAGAACTGACAAGGAGACGGCAGATAATGGAGAGGAGAGGGTGAGATACTGGGGTGCCAAGAAAGGGAGAAAGAGGCATATCTGGAGGGAGGGAGTCATCAAAAGGTGAGCTCTCCTTAGATCTCTCCCCAGGAATGCTATCACTGGAAACACTAAAGGACCATACGGTATGTGTTGTGCTAAGGACAAAGGCATTGAGATATTGATATAAGAAACGAGGATAATTTCCTAGTAAAAATTGGATTTCTAAGACAAATAAGTTGATAACACCCCTGTTCTAGTAATTTGTAACCTTTTCAGAGATGAATGAACTCCAAGAATAGCTCAACTATTTGCTGGAAGAGAAAAAAGACCCCTAATTAAGGTACTTTTCTCCCCTGAAGACACGGGATTGATCCATTTGCCGCTACTCAATTCCACAACTGGCAGGATGGCCGCCCTCATGGAAGGATCACTGTCCCTTGTTAGGTAATATTTGGGAGCCACAGGACAATGTTAGACGTCAAAGAGGCAAAGCCACCATTGACCCAGCCCAGTCATAAGAATCTTGAGTTAAAAGGACCTGGGATGTTCATCTCCCACCGAATGGAGAAATCCCTTTTAGGATGGAGAGCTCACTCATGTATGGCGGCCCATGCCTCTGTTGGGCAGCTTCGATGGCTAGAAGGTTTTCCCTTAATTTGAGCTGAAGTCAGCCTTTCTACTCTTCTACCCATTGACCCTGCCCTGCCCTCCAGCATGGATAGAAAGCCTCTTTCAAGTAATCCTTCCAATGACTGGCTTGTTCAGCAAGATCTGAGAGCAGCTGCATAAAGGAAAAACTCTGCTGTGACGAGAAGGAAAAGCGATGGTGACAGTGGGCCCCGGAAGGAACCACCAGACGCTTGGCTTCTCTGGTTTCTTTGTGCCTGGTGGGCACGGGATCCTGGGCCTCTGCCCAGCTCTTATTGCAGGAGCTGCAGAAGAGTCAGGAGAGATGGGGGTGCTTCTGGGAAGAGGTCGCCGAGGCTCTCCAGGAAGAGAAGGATACCCACAGAAAAGCCAACTAGAATTTCTGAAAGCCCAAGATAGTGGGAACCTAATGGAGCGCATCAGACTGGGCTGGCGATACTGCTTCCAGAAGCTCCAAATGATCATCAAATTAGCAGATTTTCAGGTTAATGGGCTCATGGGAGAAACTCAATTGCTAAGAATCCAGGTGTGCTTTCAAAGGGAAATAGGCCCAGGATCATGGTACTAAATAAGTTTTCTATAAGCTCATAATTGTTTAGGCTGATATTTTTCCTAATGATGAGTGAGTGAAAGAATATATATACATAGTCATATATATGTATATATATGTGTTTTTTCTTCTTCTTCTTCATTGGTTTTTCAGATAGTTCACCTTTCAGTATGCCCTGCACTCCCTTCCAGCCAGAGGCCTCTGGGATTACAGAGTTAGGGGAAGGGAATCAGGAAAGACCCTGTTGCTGCGGCCATCCCTGGAGGAGTTCACAGCCCCTTCTCCCAGGCTGGCTGCATTAATGTAGATCTTAGTGCTCAAGTCTGGGAGGGGAGGATATGGGTTGTGAGTCATGGGGCAAAGGAGGGATGCAAAGTCACAGAGAGAAATCCACAAATCAAGCCAGAAAGACCAAAGGGAGTATCTTTCTAATAGAAACATAGGGTTTTTGCTGGGACAGGTTGGTTAGACTTTCCACTGGGTGATGTACGGTGAACAGCCCAGGAGAGACAGCTGAGGAAGGGGAGAGCCCAGAGTGCAGAGCTGTGTGCTCGGGAAATCTGGCTGGGGACAGGAAAGGCTCTGTGGCCAAAGGGACGCTGATGTGCGATTCCATGGGAGGCACATATCACTGGGGAATGGAATCAGAATTTCACGAAATCACCTTGCTACCCTCCAATGGCCTTCTTGTCTCGTGGGACAATTCCATTACTGATGGGATTTAAGAAAACCGGCAGAGAGTCCTGTAACTAGGATCTGTGACTTTATAGGGGAAGGGATAAATAGAAACAGACTTGTGAAACAACTGACTGCAGGGAACACAGTTGACCCTTGGCCAGAGGAAAGAACTCAGAGGCCTGGGCTTTGTTTGCTGGATGGGAAACTGCTTAGCCTCCTGGTCTGAAATGAACCCACATCCTGCAGACCCGAGACTAAGGCCTCGTGGTGGGGGTTTTGTGGTCAGATGATTGGGGTCGGGATTCAGCTCTGCCATTGAACGGGTGACTGTACCCGGCAGGTCAATTATCTAAGTTGAGTCTCAGTTTTCTTGTCAGTAAAATGAAGATAATGATTCACTCCCTGCCTCCCATTCTGGGGTGCTGTGAGCCGCTAATGAGCTAATACCTGTGAATACACCTGCAAAACAATAAAGCACTATACTGACATGAGATATTTGTGTCGTAAGGCAGGAAAACAGCCTAATGTCTTTGAGAATGAAAATAGGCACAGCCGGGCTGAGGTAACAGGGAAGCAGGGTCTCAGCAAGGCTTCGTGGGGCTCTGGGGTGGGGCGCTGCCTCCTCTGACTCTCCCAGGGGTGCTGATATTGGAAAGGCCAATAGCACCAGGGATGAGGCGGCACCCGGTCAGGGCCCAAGAGCTGACTTACAAAGTGCAGGCCGGGAGTCTGGCTGAGCGCTACACGCACTCCCCACCGCTTGGTTTCAGGGAGCACCGTCAGTAGGTGCCAGGTTTCCCAAGGAGGGGATCATCAGTTTATGGCGATGCTCAAAGGACAACCGTGGCTTTGCTCCTGGGCACCACGTGTACACTTTACACGTGGCTGGCAGTGCCCTGAGCCAGGGAGCCCCTGGTGGAGCAGTAGCCAACCAGTCCCACTGCTCAGAGACGCCCCGACCCGCACTCCTGGTGGGGTGCAGGGTGTTATCTGCTCCCCAGGAAGCCGGGGTGCCTGTTGGCCACGCGAGTGCAGGAGGCACAGCAGGCTGTCTTGTAGTAGTTGTAGACGCAGAGCCGTGCCTGGACCACCACGTTGCAGTTGTAGTACCTGTCCTTGCAGTTTTCATCTGCAGCAGAAGAGAACAAAAAAGAGTCGCTGAACACAAGGGGCAGCCGGGAGGAACGGAAAGACAAAGGGCAGTGGACACTGCTTTCAACCCTGGTCCTGCTGTTTCTCACCTATGAGAGGCGTGAGTGTGGGATAGGAGCTTACATTTTTTTTTTTTTCTTTAAACATCAAGTTGAAATCTCACTACTTTGACCTTAAGGATGACGGAAGCAAATCTCTGAAAGCATTACCATTTTAATCAGTTCCCATTTAAGTTGATGTTTTGGTGGGTGGCTTGGCTCCCCATCTGTGCTGTAAACAGCCACCTTAAACTATGAAACTCATCACACCAACAGGACTTTGACCTCTTGAACTCCACGACTATGCACAAGGTCACAGAGAGACCTAGGTGGGCTTGGCATTTTCACACCAGAGAACATGATGGAGCTTAAGAAAGACGAATCTTGACTCCAAGATGGGAATCCCTACTTACCAACTTCAGGGACACAGTCCTGAGGGTTACAAGATTCTTTCTCTTCTGGTTTCAATTGAGGGTCACAGAGATTACTTAAGGTCATGTCATCTGACAGACAGCGCACTTCCCGGACCCGGAAGCCGCCCTGGCAGCTCTTGGAGCACTGCATGGGGACAAAGGGAGAAAGTTAGATTCCTTGGCAGCCCATCAGCTCAGCACATTGGAGAGGACACATACTGGAAAATTCAGTCATCTCCCAAAGGAGACAGAATATTCAAACTCCCGTGCACCTATCAACCAGCTTTAGCACCCATCAACTCAGGGCCAGTCACGCCCCATCTCCACCCAACCCGCATCCATGCCTCACATTATTTTGAAGCAAATCTTGATATATCACTTCCTCCATAATGTTTCAGTTTGTAGCTCTGAAAGACAAGGACTCTTAAAAAATTACCACAATACCCTTATTACACCTAGAAATTAACAACAGTTCTTTACTATTTTCAAATATATATTTAGTGTCTCCATTTCCACGTGTCTTGTGAATTTCATATGTTTCTTAATACAGTTTTTTTTTTAAAGATTTTATTTTATTTTTTCCCCCCAAAGCCCCAGTGGATAGTTGTATGTCGTAGCTGCACATCCTTCTAGTTGCTGTATGCGGGACTCGGCCTCAGGATGAACGGAGAAGTGGTGCCTCGATGCGCACCCGGGATCCGAACCCGGGCCACCAGCATCGCAGCGCGCGCACTTAACCACCAAGCCACAGGGCCGGCCCCAGTTTTTTTTTTTAAATCAGGATCTGCATGAGGTCTGCGCATTGCCATTGGCTGATATGCCTTTTACAGCTCTTTAATCCACAGGTTCCCTCCACTGTGCTTTTCTCCCTTGCATTTTATTTGTTGGAGGAACTGAGTTATTTGTCCAGTGGAGTTTTCCATAACCAGGATTTTGCTGACTGCATCCCCATGGTACAGTTTAACATGTTCTTCTGTCCTCTGTATTTCCTGTGAACCGGAAGTTGGATCCAGAAGAGGCCTTAACAGGTGCAGGTTTGATTTTTTTGTGGTGAGACTACTTCATAGGATGTGTGTGGGTGTCTCTCTTTTGGGAAGTCAGCAGCCACTGATGAGCAATGCCCAGATCCATTAGTTCATTTGGGGTTGAATATGGTGATAATATTCTTCCATCTCTTCTTTTTTTAGCAGGGAATCTTTTCTCAAGAATCTCCTCCTCCCCCCGCCACCACTCCATACATTTACTCTTTGGTTACCCAGTAGTACAGCTTGTTTAGGAAAGACAGAGTAAACGCTTGATTATTTTCCTTTATTTATCAGTTTTCAGAATAGTGAGTTGGTTCCCCTAACAATCTCTAATGGTGACCTATTGGTTTTTTATTATTATTATAAACTTATTACAAATGGATGAATTTAAACATACATGATGTGTTTCATTCAATCTATGGTAGTAATTATTTTTATTGATGCTCATGATGTCCCATCAATGACTAGCAGGAGCCCCTAAAAGTTGATTCTTGAGACCTTGGGACATGAAATCAGTTGTCTCTGAGAACTTCCTTGCTGCCTGGTATGAAAAGATATTCTAATCTAATTTATACATATACGGTCCCACACCTGGAATTAGTGATTTCTCTAAGAATTCCTGGTTCCTTTTAATGGAGAGTGGTATTTTGAAACCACATTCTGGCTGACAGGCATGCCCTTTGATACCAGACTTATTGTTTCTCAGCTCTTTCAGTGGCTAATACTAGGAAAGAACTTTATTTAAGATAAATTAATTTATGAGTTCATACTGATATTTCTAATTCGAATTCAGGACAATAGCATTTTCACTTAAACTTCTATCTTTTATCCGTATCTTCTCTCTCCTAAGTTGAGAACCCTATTTCCCAAGGATATGGGGGCTAATAGAGTTATATACCATTATATTATCATGTATACTATCATAGTACCATAAAGTAGATTACTCATTTACTTTATTGCACATTATACACCCAACCATCTCACAATACAGTACACTATCACTAAAAATGTGATTATTGCAAACATTTTTCTGCAGTTCTTTTTGCCCTTAGGGGTGGAAAAAATGCTGTGTTTTAAAACCACGTGCAATAGTGCTCATGCTACCAAGTAGATACATATTTAGGTTCATTCGTTTCATTGCATTTTCCATTTTGGAGGATTGCTTTTTTTAAAAAAAAAATTTAACTTTTATAATTATATAAAATATTTACTTAGTTTTATAAACTCAGATTTATAAAACAAGGCATATTCAAAGACGTGGAGCTTCTGTCACTGTCTTTGCTATTACAGTAACCATTTATTTCATATTTGTTTCAGTTTATTTATTTATTTATTCATTTTTGTGAGGAGATCAGCCCTGAGCTAACATCTGCCAATCCTCCTCTTTTTTTACTGAGGAAGACTAGCCCTGGGCTAACATCCGTGCTCATCTTCCTCCACTTTATATGGGACGCTGCCACAGCATGGCTTGCCAAGCGGTGCGTCGGTGTGCGTCCGGGATCTGAACTGGCGAACCCCAGGCCAGCGGAGTGCACGCGCTTAACTGCTTGCGCCACCAGGCCGGCCCCTATTTATTTATTTTTAAAGTGACGTACAGAAAAATTCATTTTTTGTGGCGCACTGTTCTATGAGTTTTGACGAATTCATAGAGTCATCAATCTCCCACTACAAACAAGACACAAAAGTTTCATCACATACAACAAATCTCCTCGTGTTTCCCTTTGTAGTGAAATTCACCCCACTCTACCCTCTGCCAATCATTGATCTGTTCTCTGTCCCTATAGTTTCGCCTTTTACAGAATATTATGTAAACAGGATCATACAATACGTAGCTTTTGGGGTCTTTCATTTAGAAAAATGTTTTTGAGGTTCACCCATGTTGTTGTAGGCACCAGCAGCTCACTCGTTTCTGTTGCTGACTAGTATTCCACGTATGAATGTACCACAGTTTGTTTATCCATTCACCTGTTGAGGGACCTCTGAGTTGTATCCAGCCAGGTGTTTTTGGAATTTGTCTCCTTTGATGTGGCCTGGTGAATTTGGTCCTTTCTAGACTCTCCAAACTGAACGGCAAAAGAAAATAGGGATCTGTTCTAATGTTCTAACAGTCTTAAGGGTCTTGGCCAACATCAAAATAACTCAATTCCATTTCCCAGAAGTTGACAAAACACCTCTGAAATTCAACACGTCCTTCGTCCCCATTGCCTCTGAGGTGTGGTCACCACACATCCAAATGGCTGTTACCACTGGAGCAGACACACTGTGTGGAAACAGGACTCTCAGCTTTCATGCACATATTTTATAAGCAAAATCCCTTTTATCACCTTTGAATGATTCCGAGAAAGGCTCTGGCCTCTACTCTGGGCTCACCTACAGCCACTGCTTAAAGATCTCAGTGACAAAAAGCATAATGAACCCCACCCCCAGGTGTCCAAGATGTGTTAAATGCAGTGGGAATGATGCCTTGAGGAGGTTTTCTGTTTTAGGAATTTTCTTGAAAACGAACTCTTCTACTTGGGAAAAAAAAAAAAAAAAGGAATTTTATCACTATTTCCATAGAATAGAAATAATCTATTTCTGTACTAACTCTGTCTCTCTGTCTCTCTTCATTTACATACTACTCTCCCTCCTTACATAGAGGATTTGAGATAGCTTAAGAAATACTTAAAGGGCTACAAGATAATAAAAAGAAAAAAAAAGTGAGGAAACTGGGGTAAAAAGTAGGAAAAAGAAAGAGAAGCCAGTGAACATTAGCACACAAAATCCTCTCTGATAAACTCTCTTAGAGATGGGCCACAATTTTGGCTCTGAGTTTCCTAGCAGCCAATTCAAAGAGAAAAACAGGATCAGTCCCATAATTCATAATCCATATTATCTATAGGATTTTTTAAAAGTGTACACACACACACACAAATCAAGATCATCCCAGGCTTGGGCTGCCCCCCCACCAAGCAGGCTGATTCTGGGGGTGTCCCAACAGTGACCAATGAGAGTAGATCACTGTATAGAATGTACCGCAGGGCTGAGCCCAGTGCCTGGCACCTAGTAGGTGGCCCAGGTGTGTCTGTGGGAGGAAAGCAGAATGATGTTCTATTGCCATCTCTTTCAGGAGCCCCGTGACTTACCATGCTCCATTCTGTGTTAAACCATTTGGCCCCACAAGGCTTAAGGTGGCAGGATTGCTGGCTGGGGGGTTTCTCCAGGAAGGAACATTCATAGGGGTCCAGCACTTCAAAAGTGTCTGCATTCTTCCTAACACAAATCACCTCCCTCTGTTGGGTCCCGCTCCCACACTCGATGGAACACTAGAGAAAGAAGCAGAGAAAGATGGGTGTCACATGATGGAAAGAGGACGAGAACTACTATCCACCAAGGGATGTTTACGAGTGCTTTCTACCATCTATGTGGTGAGGAAGAGCCCAGGGGCGCCCAGAAAACATTTCTGGAGGGGAACTTGCATGTGGATTCCCTTCTTCCTAACAGTTCTGTGTCTGGAATGGAGAGTGGGCATCCTGAGTTATCACACTTGAGGATGCTGGTTCCTGAGACCCTGGTCCCTCTGTGCTGAGAGTGAAATGGCTTCCCTTAGACTCCCCGACAGGCACACACCAGCTAGTCAGTTTGGTTGTTTCTGTCCAGTAGACTCTGACGCCTCTCACTGTAAAACAAGGAACTCACATTCTGGTTTATCTGCTGGTCTCTTAGTGGGTGGACACTGGGAATGAATTAGTCTTCCAGAGCCTGCACACCTGTGGCTGAAGGGCTAAATTAAAATTCTTTGGGACACACAAAGCCGAGAAGAAGATCCCAGACTTGGGACAATGTCCCCTGTGGTCAATCCTCCCCTCCCAATGGGGTGGCCAGCAGGAAGCCTTTGACCTTGGAGTCCAATGCCCTCACCTCCCAACTTGGAGCCATAGCTTGCTGGGGCTGTGGCCACAAAGAGGCCAGTCAGGCAATTACATGTGTTGATGCGTTTTGTTAGTTTATGGAAATAACGATGCATATAACTGCTCATAAATTATTCTATTTAGTATCTATTACTTTGTAAAACGTTTTTTGTTCATGTTTGGTTTACTCAATACTTTTTGATTACAAATTTTAAAATCTGTGATCTATATACTTTTAGAGACTTCAAAGAATCTATCTTCTACCTTTATGAAAGGCCTGTAACAATGTCTACAGCTGAAACTCTTAATATTAGCCTTGCTTCTGTAGGCAGGCACACAGTGAAATAAAAACAAAGGAAAAAACCCCACATCTCTACAGAAAAAAAACAACCCAATCAACAGATTCTGAATTAGTCACACAGGGCATGATAGACATCACCATCAGCAATTTCTGCTTTGTGTCTTCTTTCCTGCCATTTCATAGGCATTGATATCCAGAAAACTACGAGGATTCTTAGTTTGTTTTCCTATTTTCTTCCATGTTACTTAGTTAATTTGTTCGTTTGTTTAGTGCTGGAGGTTAAGTCCAGTCCCAGCATCACAGGCAGACTATATTCTATCTATGTGGTTTGTACCATGTGATTATGATCTGTCGGACATGGGTTTTCCCTGGATGTGATCTTTCTCTTCTGTGTAGAACAATGCATGTCATAGCATGTTAGTTTGTTATTGGAGTGTATTCAGTATATTCATGTTTTGTCCTTTTCTTTCAAGTGCTGCGGACAACAAAAGAATCGGAGGCAGGAGAAAAGCGATGGGCTGCCAGGCAAAGGTACGCAGGAGGAGCGATGGTGTGTGTGAAAGGGCCGGGGGTGGCAGGAGTAGAACGCTGGACTGAAGTCAGGAGATGTGGAAACTAGTCTAGACATCGTCACGAAATAGTTCTGTGTCTTTGGCCCAGACATTCACTTCCCCAGGTCTCTATTGTCTCACCTACAAAGTGGGGGGTTTGGAAACCTGATCTGAAAGACCCCTGACTGTCCTGAATGCTGGGCAGAACAGCAGACCGTAAACTTTGACCAAAACCTGAAGTTATTTTATGCTAAGTTTGGAAAGTCCTTGAAGACATTAGGTAATTAAGGGAGAATGAGCACATATCTCAGCCTCCTCTGACCCTAAATGCCCAGAAACGGCAGAATGTGTGTGTCTGGGAACAAGCGAGCAGACGTGTGTGTGCATGAGACAGTATTTGAAAACAGGAAAGGATGCTCATCCTTTATGCACCAAAAATTATAGGGAATCTTTGAATGGCGAAAGATAGATGAGATTAAATTGAAGTAAAAAATCATAGTTCAAAATGCACATAGAGGAGGACTCCAAGCAAAGAGAAAGCAGGTCAAGTGCCTCAGGCGAGAATGGTGGTGGACCTGTGGATGTGAGGAACAAGACGGGGGCCTTGGACAAGGCAAGAGTGATCAGCTAAGATACTGACCAGAAGCCTGACTGTGCTAGGAAGAAGTGAAGGCTCCTGCCCCTACTGGGAGCGCTCAAGTCAAAGGGCAAAGTGAAGATATTTTCAGATAGTCAAGGGCTCAGAAAACTTATGGCTTATGAATCCTACTAGAAACACTTAATGGGTTATGGTCTCTAACCAAGTTAAAAAGAACCAGGAAGAAGACACAGGACACAAAAGCAGAAGCTGGCAAAGACATCAGTAAAAGCTATTGTTAATAATGGAAATGGGGTTTCTTTTTGGAATGATAAAAATGTTCTGGAATTAGATAGTGGTGATGGTTGCACAACTCTGAAATATACTAAAACCCACTGAATTGTATACTTTAAAAGGGTGAATTTTATGGTATGTGAATTATATTTCAATTAAAAAAAAACCTTTGGAGAGGAGGAAGCTATATTAAAATCTAAATTAGTATTTTCTATAAAATTAAATACCACTAATGTGGAGCTAAATCCAGATGATCTCAACATCTTTTTGGAGGTATTAGAGATTGAAGAGTGGAGATAAATAAAAGGGGACCTAAAGCTTCTGTTTTCTTTTAGGGGAGGATGTGGTTCTGATAACTTAACATTGATTGAAACACCAAAGTTTAAAATTCTGTGCTAAAATCTTTTTTCTTCTGTTATCATGAGATGAATAAAAATAGGATTTATAACTTCCAAAATGTTAGAGGGGAAAAAACGGAATTAAGGAAACCTGACCAATACCAATATGTGGAAAGGAAAGAGGGAAAAAACCCAAGAAAGCATAACAATAGAAAACTAAGCAGAAAACACAAAATAAGATGGCAGGGAAAAGTCCAAACATATAGGTGATTACAATAAATGTGAATGGTTAAAATTTAACTCTTAAAAAACAGACACTTGCAGATTGGGTAAAAATAAAGACAAAAATAGCTGCATACAAAAGACATACCTTAAAAAATACATACGAAGTTGACAAAGGTATACCAGGTGAAGATCAACAATGAGAGCTAAGATAGAGTAATGCAAATATCAGATAAAAATATAATTCAAAGAGAAAAGCACAGAAGACAAAAAGTGATATTTTAGGGATAAATGCTTCCACTGAGAAGTGATAGCAATTATGTATGTTTCTGCACCTGAAGAATTCCTGCAGTTGTACTTGGGTGGATCACTGATCCAAGATCACATGAGATTGGAGATGTCTGCTCAGATGTCAGTGAGAATAAATGTGATCCAGACACACGGGCAGACAAGAGGCTGCTCCCAATGACTAGAGACTGTGCAAGACCCCTCAGAACTAAGGCAATCTAAGTTGAAGTAAGCCCAGAACTGACAGGGAAGAAAGGAAACATCTGGGCATGAATAATAGACTTGGCAGAATACCTTATGAATAGGAGTTGGGCTATTTTGCCTCCAGAGTAGAAAAAGACCCCTCAACTTGATAGGTGTCATTCTCTCAGGCTGGCTTCCCCCACAAGCCTCGACATGGCCACTGCTAGCACCTGTGCTTGCAACTTCCTGGGAGTCTCTTTCCTTAAACCCATAAAAGTCCCAGGGAACAACTCTGTTTGGCTCGGCTTGGGTCACCTGTCCACCCTGGACTAATCACTGTGACCAGGCTGGAGATGCCAACTCTCATTCAAACCATGTGACAGGAAGGAACATTCATTTTTATATTCTGAAGTCAGTTAATGTTTAAGACTTATCCTTCAATAAATAAGCATGCTCTATTTCATTTTTTGGGGGGATAACGGCAAATCCCCAGGGCAAGGAAGTGCCAACAGGCTCTAACATCCTAGTAAATTCAGAACCAAAACCTTGTCCATATTGAGTTGTGTTCTGGCCCTTTTGGACAACAGCGCAACACATTCCATGTTCCTAATCTTAGCAGAAATAAACACTGCCTTCGCCAGGATTCACACCACTCTCAGTTCTCTGAGTTAGGTCTAGAGTTAATAGGAGGCCCACAAGCAATACAGACCCTGAATCCTGCTCCCTGTTCCTCTTTTGAGACTGGTAGGCATGCCAGTTGAATTGCACTGCTTATCTTCACTGTGTGTGAAGACTGTTACGATCTGATATGACAATTTCACATAAGACTCTTCCCATTGCCTCAGTTTCCAAGGATAGTTGATGTAATTGGCGTCCCATACACTGCTCACTTCTGAACTATCTTTGGGGTTTAGGTCCTAGGTGTGTTGCTACCAATAATGAGACAGAAGCAGCCGGCAGAAAAAATAATAAACATGGAAGACAGGGAGTCAATATTTATAAAGCACTTCCCATGTCCCGAGCACTGGGTAACCCCCTTTATACATAGCATCTCATGAAAACCCAATTGCAACTCTAGGACGTTGGTATTATTATCCTCACATCTGGATATTTGGATGAGGAAGCAGACTCAGAGAGGTTACACTTACTTGCCCCAAGTCAGAGAACCAAGGAGAAGCATAGCTGGGGGCAGTTATCAAGCATGGCTAACTCGGATATCCACTAGGGTAGCACTGGATGTACTTGAATACTCTTTCTTTCTGAATTTTCTATATTTTACAGTTTGTATCATAAAAACACTAAAGGAAATTTGAGAAGAAAAACATTTGCCCATGTTTTTTATATAAAAATCTATACTCTGAAATGGTTGAGATAGAGTTCATATATTTTCATATTCTGTCTGTCACTTGCCATTATATCATATGTCCTTTCCACATCTTCCTAAGTATCATTGTTATTGTTACACAATATTTTAAAGAGTTATAATATAGCATAACATCCCTCACTGCCATGCTGTCATGAACATCGCTGATGAAGAAGCCTTTTTTCTTCTGTTAATTATTTCCTTAAAATGAATCTCCTGGAGTAGGGTGACTGGGTTAAGGCAAATGAACACTTTTACGGTCTTGACTTTTATTGCCAAATTGCTTTCCAAAGGGGCTGTATCAATTTACAAGGACAAGGAAGTCCATTTTTTCAGGGGCTCTTTCTAAAGCTACTTAGAAGAAATAACATTCTATATGGAGCCAGAGGTCCTGATAAAGTGTAAAGCATGATCATCAGACAAAAAGGCTAAGGACAACCAGCCAGCCCTGGGGCCAAACGCTAAGTGGCCCAACAACTCAAATGCTGACAGCAGTACAAGGGGATGATCTTTCCACATTCTCTTAGGGGGTTCATGTTCAATTTTGGAACATTAAGGAAAAAAATCAACTGATCAATTCAGTTACTTTATTAAAGTATTCAGTATTATCTGTTCTTTATAATGAACAACCTCAACGTTTTCCATTTCTGCTTCTATTTTTCCCTCAGCTTTATTGAGGTATAATTGACAAATAAAATCGTAATATATTTAAAGTATACACATGATCATATATGTCGTGAAAGGATTCCCACAATCAAGTTAATTAAAAACACACCCATCACCTCACACATTTACCTTTTTGTGTGTATGTGAGAACACAAGTTCCTCCCTCTCAGCAAATTTCAACTGTACAATACAGTGTTATCAACTATAGGCATCATGTTGTACATTAGATCCTTAGACTTTATTCATCCTATAACTGCAAGTTTGTACCCTTTTACCAACCTCTCCTCATCTCCCCCAGCCCCTGGCAACCACCATTCTACTCTCTGTTTCTCTGAGTTCGACTTTTGTTTTTAGATTCCACGTATAAGTGATACCATGCAGTATTTGTCTTTCTCTATCTGGCTTATTTCACTTAGTATAATGCCCTCCAGGTCTATCTATGTTGTTGCAAATGGCAAGATTTCCTTCTTTTTAAAGGCTGAATAATATTCCACTGTATGTATATATCACATTTTCTTTATCCATTCATCTGTCAACAGACCCTTAGATTATTTCAATACCTTGACTATTGTGAATAATGCTGCTATGAACATGGGAGGACAGATAGTTCCTCGAGATAATGATTTTGTTTCCTTTGGACGTGTACCCAGAAGTGGGATCGCTGGATCATATCTATTTCTGCTTCTGATGCTCAAATACAGACAAAACTGGCTTTATTAACATTAACAATAATAGCAGCAGCAGCAGCTACGATTTATTGTGTGTTTATTGTATGTCAGGCACTGTGCTACATACTTACATACATTACTTCATTTCTTCTAAAAATAACCTCATAAGGTGCTGTCATTACCAGTATTTTATAGACAAGGAAGCCAGGCGAGACCACAGCTCCCTGAGGGCAGGGATACTTGTTTTGCTCATTGACGTATCCCAAGTGCTTAGAAGAGCACATAGTAGGTGCTCAGTAAATACTGTTGACTGAACAAGGCTCCAAGAGCATAAGTAGTTTCTCTAGGGTCACAGGTGGCACAGCTGGGATTCAAACCCAGGACACCTGGGATACACTTGACCCCTCTGCTCTGCTACCTCTCACCAGGGATGGACAGACACACCCAGTTCTGGCCACTTACCTGACTCCAGCTCCCCGCAAACCACTCCACCTTGCCCATGCAGGGCCCATTGTCACACGGGGTGGCCTCAGCAGGCCGGTTGTTCCCACAGCCCTCCAGGGGCAGGCTGCTGACGTGGTTGGTCATGCACACCACCGAGCGGGTCCGCACTCCAGCCCCACACTCCGCCGAGCACTGCGAGACAGGAGAGGGCACGTTAGAGGGCAGGCCCCTGCAGGTTCTGTAGCCACTTTCAAAGGATGTGAAGGAGGACCAACATCTCATCTCCCAAACAACTCTCTCCCCTAGAAATGTCTGGCCACTTCTCCTGCCCGGCCTGCTCCATTATGAGATATCAGTATGGCAAACCCCCATCTTAGATTTTCTGGGACAGTCTTCATTCCAAATAGCCTGTTCCACTGCTGTGATTAATACACTTAGCCTTGCCAGACTAGCTGTCCTGGATTTCACTTTTGAAAATATATACAGCAGAAGAAGGATGACAGCATGAAAACTTGGGCACATGTCTACCTGGGATTCTGCTTTCTTGCTTTGTATTAGAGTTATTTGTGTCCTATATTTTTGTTTCTTCGTAGAAGTAGGCTTGGTGTGGGCAGGGACTATGAAATCATCTTTAATTCCTTCTCAAAGCGGCACCTTACCCATGGGCGGATCCATGAATATCAGCTGGATTAAGGAATACAGACTTGGGCCCTCCCTCACCCATTTCTCGTTTCTCATCAGCACCTTCCCGTCCTGAAAGTGTCCCTTGAGGATCATGACCAAAGCCCATTCTAAGGGTTTCTGCTGAGTCTTCTCTTAAAAACAGAGTCAATGTTTGGTTTCTACCAACATTTCCGTTTTTAAAAATAAATAAAAGCAATATAATTTTAAGTAAAATTTGAGAAAAGGGAAAAAAAAAAAACCCACCACCTGGTTTCCTTATCAAGATGTCGATTTTCATTTGTGTACCTTGCTGTCTAGTCTTGTAAGATCACAGCCCAGGGTGAGTAATCAAACATTTACATGACTACTGTTAAGCTGGGCTTCACTTCTCAGAAAGGAAACTCTCTGGAGCCAAGAGCTTGAGGGGATTAGAACACACCACCCCAAAATATGCTGCTTTGGCCTAATGGTTATTTTGAGCTGAAGGCAATTGAGAAACAGCAGATGCAGGAAGAGCTCTCTGCCCTCCCCTTTCCTGCTGAAAAGCAGGGCATGAATTTCCCCTGAAAATGGTGCCCTCCCAGTTCCTCCCAGTTCCAGGAAGAAGAGAACATTCTTATCATCAGTGACGGGGAACTGATGCCAAGATACTGTCTGCACAAACAACCGTACTAAAATCTATTACTATCCTCTATTAGTTCTCCCATATATTTCTTGGCCACTTTCCTACAATTTACTGCCTCTAGAAGCCCAATCCTTTTCCTTTGTCTAGTCACTTCTTCATAATTTATCACCCTTTGTTAAAATGGTATATATGCCCTCACATCTAACTGCTTCTTTGGGATTTTCACTTCTTTCCTATGAAGACCCCGGTGCCATGTAAAAAAAATTATCATCAAATAAATTTTGTATGCTTTTCTGCTGTTAATCTGGCTTTTGTCAGCTTAATTTGCAGGCCTCTAACAAAGAACCTAAGAGGGTACAGGAAAAGCTTTTTCTCCCCTACAGGCTCACAAATACTTTTCACGACTTACGCTCCATCTACATTGTTATTAGGAACCTGAGACAATGAAGCAGTCCCTTAGCTTAAAAAAAATCCTTTGCTATAATAATTGGAATATTCCAGGTTAAAGGGTTTTTTGTTTCAGCCATGCATTATTTGGTCTCTTTCCTAACTTTAAAACTGAAGATATTTAAGTTCTCCTAAAGAATACAAAGTAAATCAAATTTAAGTTATCTTTGTGTTTCAAACCCTAAGAATATTTCTTTCCAGGTAACTTCCGTTTGACTCACTAACTTAATTTTCTGCTTTCCAAACCAAGTAATGTACACGCATCTGGGAAAGTTTCCCCATATCCCCATGTGATTAATTTAAAAGAAGAATGTTAAGGACCAAGACAATGCCCAGTGAGAGAACATGATAAGGATGAGCCCTGCAATGAAACTTCACTCTATTATACCAACCGCAGTGAAAAGCACAACAAATTTAAATTTGAAAGATGCTACCCACACAGGACCTGGCCCAGGAAGCCCATCAGTAGAAATGAGGGGACCAAGGGGGCCGGACCGGGCAGCAGAGACAAACCTTCAGTGGGGCACCAAAACACACCCACTCACCATCCCTGAAAGAAAGACCAAATCTGCTACAGGAGCCAGAAAAGGACCTGACTCCTAACTGAACTTCTGGGCTGATAAAACACAGAAACACACGAAATTCCTAAGCAACCCTCTGGTGAGGCCTGTCTTCTCGCTCCAGCATCAGTTAAATGCTAAACTTGGCCCAATTGACCCCTGAGGGACTATAGGGCTCTAACGACTATTCCTGAACTTCAGTTTTATGCATCATTGTCTATAATTTAAATAACTCAAGGTCTTTACTTATTTCTGCTCTCGGAAAACATCCTTAGAAATTAGGCGTCACAAAATTGTGGCTGGTGGACTTTCTAAAAGGCTTTTTTTTTTTTTTTCTGTGGGATTAAAAATTGCACATGTGTTTAAACTTGTCATTGATTTGCAGAACTAAAAAGTAAATGATGCCCACATCTAAGGAGGCCCGCCCTCAATTAAAAGTACCTGCAGAAATGTTTTTAAGGTGAGTCATCAAGTCAGAAGAAGTCTATAGCCCCAGAGGCTTAAGAGAAGATTCAGACTGAGTTGACAGCCTCAATTCATTCAGGTGGAGATTAATTAATTCTAAATTGGGCAAAAGGAGACAATCTGGATCCTTAAGCATTTGTAAACTTTAATCTCATTTTCTTCCATCTCTCCCACTTGAGCTCATTTAGTGGAAGCTGTGTCTCACTCATGCCTGGCATGCACTAGGTACTCAATACATGTTGATGCCCAGTGGGGAAAAATTGCATAGTTCAGACTAAAGCTTAACAGAATTGATTTTTATCCAAAGCCACTATTCAACTGTGGAACACTGCCATCAGCTGGTCATTCCTGCAGACTGAACCTTTCAGAAGGCTAACTGGTGACTCAAAGGCCCAGCCCACTGTGCCAACCTCATCTAGGTCATGGTTTCAAATGTGTTATCCCTTACTGCTCACTCAGCAACGGTACAGATGAGGAAACTGAGGGTCAGTGAGTCAGCAACTGCTCAAGGTCTAATAAGAAATAAGTCCTTGGGGAAATGACGCCAAAGCAAATGTGCCTTCTTTAAACCCAACAGTACCCCCCTTTCCACTCAACTACTCCAAAATAAGCATGAACATTCAGGAACAATGGTCTATGCTGGGGGGAGATACAGCAAAATTACTTACATCATAGCACCAAACTGACAAGGCTTAAAACATCTTTTCCAAAAAACGACAAAAAAGTTCTCTAAAGAGAAGAATCAAGTGCTTATCTTTTCCTCTATTTAGAATTTTAAGACAAGGGTTAGATCCAGCAAGTACTTATGTTAAAATACAAAGCAAATTTATATTACAGGGAAATTTATAAGTCTTTATTGGAGGGGAAATGAATAAAGGTTGGTTCAGTTATAGTAGTCATACAGCAGCTTATTCTAATTAAAAATCATGCTTTAAAGGTTTTTTTTTTTTTCTATTTTTTGTGAGGAAGATTAGCCCTGAGCTAACATCTGTTGCCAGTCCTCCTCTTTTTGCTGAGGAAGATTGGCCCTGGGCTAACATTCGTGCCCATCTTCCTCTACTTTATATGTGGGACGCCTGCCACAGCATGGCTCAGACAAGCGATGCATAGGTTTGTGCCCGGGATCTGAACCTGCAAACCCTGGGCCGCTGAAGCAGAGTGTGCAAACTTAACCACTACGCCACTGGGCCGGCCCCACTTTAAGGGTCTTTAATTCCATTAAAATGCTTACATTAGGGGCCAGCCGGCGGCACAGCGGTTAGGTTTGCATGCTCCACTTCAGCAGCGCAGGGTTTGCCGGTTCGGATCCTGGGCGCAGACCTACACAACACTCGTCAAGCCACGCTGAGGCCACGACTCACACAGAGCAACTAGAAGGATGTACAACTATGACATACAACTATATACTGGGGCTTTGGGGAGAAAAAAGGAGGAAGATTGGCAACAGATGTTAGCTCAGGGCCAATCTTCCTCAAAAAAAAAATGTTTATAATAAATACATAAGTGAAAAAACTAGGTTACCAAATTATACATATATTATGATTTATATCCTTAAAATATATAAGTACAAAAAAAGCTATGTATGTAAGGCGTGTATGAGTAGAAAAAAGCTTGGCAGTTAGCTTAAAAATCTTAAATTATTATCTTTTGGTGAAGAGGTTATAGGTATGCTTTTCTGATTTTTTCATATTTTTTATAACTGTATATGTTACTTTATGACCAGAAAAAATGAACATTATTTTAAAAAGAATCTTGCCAACATAAAAATGAAAGCCCAGCATCGTTCTTTTCATTAATTTGCTTACACACTAAATTCACCAAGTTTACTTGAACACAAATGAGTTCTGGGATGACTAGAAATCCAGAAACACAAAAGAATTAGTCAGAGGAACTAGGAATTTTTAGCCTGGAGAAGAAGAGGAAGGGGTCCCCAAATATCTGTTGGGCTGCAGTGTGGGAGAGAGCACTCAGATTTTCTATGGAACACAAGCGGCAGTTAGCAAAAACACTTTGATTCAATGTAAAAGGAAACCTCTCGACACGGTGGGCTGTACAAGAAACAGACGTCATTGTCTTGGCACCCAGTCAATTTCTGACAAACGAATCACACCCATGACAGGGATGCTGCAGAGACCTCCTCACACTGGCAGGAGGCTGACAAAGTGACTTCTGAACCGCCTCCCAGCACTGTTTCCACAATGCCAGGAGCTGATGCATGTGCTGGGAGGCTTGGAAAGGGGGGATATGCAAACAACTGGGGGGAGCTCTGCTGACCTCAGCTCTAGGGGCAGAAGGCTGAGTCAATGGAGACCTTTAGATCGGCACTGACTTCCCATTTGTTTCCCTTTGGCTAGTGCCTTCCTGATGGTGTTACTTGGGCGCCTGTTACAATCCACTCCTGGGACTGGAGGCACACTTAGCTTCTCATCCTAAGAGTTCGGTGTTCGCACTAAGGACTCTCTATTTGGGGACTGTTTGGGGGCTAAGGGGCAGGGGCTGTATGCCATGAGGTGTCAGGAATCCACAAGAAGATAAATCACTCGATGAGAATCTCCAGGATGATCTCTGAATGCGGAGCGAAGCCTGCACTGGCAGGTTTGTTCTTCCTTTCTTTCTCAGTAACAATCCCCACTGATGTGGATTATGATTGTGATGAGAGGGATGAAACTAGAGGGCATCTTACAACAGGGAGGGAGTGGAAACCCATGTGAACACTTGCAGGGATGATGTTCAGAATACTTAACAACCAGTCCATGGTGGGTACTGACCAGTCAGGATGGATGCTGGCCAATTGGAATCAACCAACATGGCGGTATGGATGAAAATCCACTGATGTGTGAAAGTCTACTCCTCTGAGCTTGAGATACGGCACGTGATGCTGGGGGGAGAGCTCATGAGCTCAGTAATGTTTCCTAAGATTCTATGAACTTGGCTGGTCTCCTCAACCTTGGACCAGTGGCCTCAGTCCCACCGGGGAGCCCATCAGAAATGCAGAATCTCAGGCGCATCTCATGGCACTGACTCAGATTCTGCACGGTCACAAGGTTCCCAGGTGATGTGCAGCACATTAGGGTCTGGAAGCCCCTCGAGGAATTCTGATAAGGGAAACGGTGCAGACCTGGCCTAATGGAGAGGGAGGCACTGAGGACAGAGACAGCCAATCGCGTCTACATCCTGGTTAAACTTCCAAGGTCTTCTGGAGAATCCAGAAACCCAGAAACTGTCCATTTGATGACCAGACCAGCTGCCCTGGGTAGAACATGCTGATTGGCCTCTCCTCCTGCTGGCCAATCGGTAGCTTCCTCAAGAAAAGAAAGCAAAACTCATCATCTCCTTCCCCCTCTCTCTCCCCACCCCAAGGTATGTTCTTTAATTTTGCTTCCCTGAACTTTTTTTTAATAATTATGGTAAAACATACATAACATAAAATCTACTATTTTAATCATTTTTAAGTGTACAATTCAGTGGCATTAAGTACATTCACATTGTTGTGCAACCATCGCCACCATCCATCTCCAGAATCCCGCTCTTTTTTTTTTTTTTTTTTTTGTGAGGAAGACCAGCCCTGAGCTAACATCCACGCCAATCTTCCTCTTTTTGCTGAGGAAGACTGGCCCTGAGCTAACCTCTATTGCCAAGCCTCCTCCTTTTTTTTTTTTCCCTTTTTCTCTCCAAAGCCCTGTAGATAGTTGTATGTCATAGCTGCACATCCTGCTAGTTGCTGTATGTGGGACGCCGCCTCAGCATGGCCGGACAAGCGGTGAGTTGGTGCGCGCCCGGGATCCCAAACCCCGGCTGCCAGCAGTGGAGCGCGCGCACCTAACTGCTAAGCCACGGGGCCGGCCCCTCTTTTCTTATATAAATCCTATTTTTGTCTTTGATAGATGGACTCAATCTCCTATTAGGTTCCCTTGTACACAGGGACCTGGTGGGCTGATAATGAACTATATATGCCTTTGAGGCAATCTTTGACACTGACACCAGGGACCCCAAGGGAGACCAGGCTATCAGGGAGGGGACAGTATGTTTTGAGTCAGTAAGAAGCAGGGAAGGGGCCTGCCATTTGCCAAGTGCCTATTTTATGCCAGGCACTCACAAAATGTGTGAAAGTTGTGATGCAATAATTCACTTTATTTAGTATTTCATTATTTCTAGTCACATGGAGTGCTAAGGAGAATTAAACTAATTATTTCACACCCACTCCTCAGTCTTGGAGCCCCTTGATCTTCATATAAGAACAGAAAGCCTACGATAGGTCATCTCTGGGTCTTTTCCCCAAAGTCAGCAATTCCCCTTGGGATTCTTAGTGGTTCATCTTCGTGTGGTTTGGGGCACCTTGTGATGTGCAGCTCCTGCCCATTACCCCAGCAGACCTTGGCCCCCGACTCCAGAGACCTGCTCTGCCCACTGTCACGCTCACCCTTTCACTCCACTCCGTGAGGAACCAGCTCTTCGCACAGGGTCCCATGTCGCAGTTCTCAATGTCATTCGGCCGGAGCTTCATGTTGCATTCCTCGTCGGCAACCACATCCCCAATGTTGCTCACACACTTCACGTCTCGGGTCCTCTGTCCCACTCCACAGGGCACCGAGCACTAAAACATAGCAAGCGTACGTCAGTGGGATGGGCAGCGTTAGCTCCAGGGGACTCTCCAGTTATGGTGCCCTCATCCTCGTCACCTGCCACCTGAGCAGAGGACCGTGGTGAGACCCCCTGTGTTGCTGGGTCCCTTGCAATGCGACGCTACCTGGGGAGGATCCCAGCCCTGAAATCTTCACAACACTTTTCTCTAAGACCTTCTTAGATGTCTTGCCTACTTTGTTCCTCTGAGCCTCAGTTCTGTCATCTATAAAATGGGAGAGTAAGATCAGAAGGAGTTGGCTCTACCAGCAGTTGCCAACCTTCACTCCACCACGACGCATGAGAGAGATGAGACCCGTATGCACACGACTCCCAGGGGCTCACCCTTGAAGTCGGCTGTGGGTGATACACTGTAGCCTTAACTCTATGGAGCTATGGGTACTTGTGGTGGAAGCTGTTCAGACCCCACAGGATGGGAGGAGAGGAGAACTCAGGGTCCTTCCAAGTCAGGGCTTGGTGGGGGGAGGTGGGAGGGTGGCAGTGGGTCTTGGAGGGGAAACTCCCTAGCAGGCTGCCCCACCCCACGTACCGAGGTCCAGTCGGTCCGGATCTGCCACTCGCTGCAGATCTTGAGCTGGCAGGTGCTGGTGGTCTCGGGCTTCTCCAGGTGCTGGCAGCGGTAGGGCTGCACCGTCAGGCTTCGGTTGGCGTACACCTGGCGGCACAGAACCTGGCGATGCTGCATGCCCAGGCCACAGGTTTTGCTGCACTCAGACCACTCCCCAATGTCCCAGCTGGCTCAGGAACAAGACAGCGAGAGGGAGAGACCACTTCAGTCAACAAGAAGAGAACACAAGCCCGGGCCGGCTTACACAGGGCCATCAGAATCCTTATGGGTGGTCCTCATCCTAGGCACCACTTAACAGTCTGCCTAAAGGCCATCTGTAAAGGGCTCTGTAAAGGAATGAACTTTGTTCCACATGCTATTTGCCAGCGATTAGGGTCCAGATTCTATAAAATTATAGAAAACTGAGAGGGTATACATGATTTTTATCTAATAAAAATAATAACTCCAAAGGTTAGTTTAATTACCCCGTAGAACATTAACCCACTTTGGAACTCACTTAGAAATCTTATTCTAGCATTCTTTATTTTTAATTAATTATTTACATATCAGTTTCACATACATCCTTACCAGGCTAAACCCTAATTGCTCCCATTTACCAAAGGAAGGGTAGGCTCCCTGGGAGTGGGCTGACCTGCTACAGGCCACGATCTCCTGTGTTAATCCTGAAAGTCAGGTGCGCTTGCTAAATGGACCTCATTTTATGCATAGAGCAAGTCTCCTGTTTCTAAATCAGATGTAGACTGATTTAAAAATTTGATTGTATCTGCTACTAAGGGTCTCTGCACCAGCCACCAGAAGTGACCCACAATAGGTAACGTCACCAGAGAGGCCATCTTACAAGGCCGGGCAAGGGAAGATGTTGCAGGGCTCCTCCTCGGGGGTCGGCTTCATGCTGGAGTCACAGTAGCTCTCAGGAACCTCTTCGTGAGTGCTTCTGTGCACACAGCGAAAAACAGGGTGCTGCGATCCTGCAAGGACACAGAGAGCGTCTGAAGGACAGGCCCACACACTTGATGCTGGGCTGTGGGTGAGATGCACAGAGATCCTGATGGAGAGAGCCACGGAAACGGGACAGTTCACACACACTCCTTCACTGTGCGTTTACACACACCTCCCGCACCAGGGCCTTGCTAGGCTCTGTGGGGCGCAAAGAAGCGTAGGAATAGTTAGTGCCCTCAAAGAGCTTATAACCTACTTGTGGACACGGTTTGAAAGTGCTCAAAGGCAGATAAAAACAATGTTCATAACAGTATAAGACATCACTAGGCAGGCAAGTGATTACAAAATGAGCACATATAATAACTGCTTGAAGATTTTCTGGAGACATCAAAGAGAACGGTCCCGGAGGGATCAGGCTGCGTCCTAGAGAAAGGGGGTTTGTGTAGCTGTGTGTACATGTGTCCACGTCACTGAACTGGAACAAACACGCTGGCCTGCAAGTGCCAGGTATATTTAAGAGACAATCAGGTTGAAGCAGAGAAGTAAGGAGACTCAAGAGAGGCTAGAAGAGCAGCCGGCTTCCCCCTTTGTAAATGATCTTATGCACTCCCCCAATAAAGTACCGATCTGACGGTATTTTAGTTATTTGAGTATGTCTGCCTCCTATGAGGTGGCGAGCTTCTCAGGGACAGGATTAGTTCTTGTTTGTCCCCATCACCCCAGTACAACAGAGTAGCAAGTGCTCAATAAAAGTTTGTTGAATGAATATTTATCAGAGGTCTGATATTTGTTTTATTTTGCTAAAAAAATTATACTAACTGCCTCAGAGTTTTGTCTGTTTGTTTTAAATACACAGCCTACTTTCATTGGTTTAATAAGTCTATTTTGGATAAAAAGTCAGAATTTGTTAAGTGGAATTTCTAGCTCTCAAAAAAAAAAAAGCTGATTCAATTCTGTCTTCCTCTCTCTGCTACCCCCCAGTGGCATCACTGAGGCATTACTACTGGACGTTTACAAAGTGAGACATTAACAGGCTGAATTTCAATTCAACTGTCTGAAGAGTAAGATGCTTTTTCACAAATAACTCCCTACCCCCACCCCCACCCCCAGTGTGGGGTGAACAATTCCTGCTGGGAAGAACACTATCGTTTATTCTACAGCTCTCTCTTAGCTCTGTTGCCCATTGGCCAGGCATTTAGAGTTTCTGAACTTTCAACTTGCTATAATTCTAATTGTAACTGGAGGAATAACTTTTAACGTAAGTGTCTCAATATTGCATCAGCCATGAAGTGTTTCAGTACTTCTTTAAGCTGATCTTGTGTGACACACTGAGCCCGAGGAGAGTTCTCGTAAGAAGCTTGACAGTTTGTAAGACAGTTTTGAATCTGAAACGATCATTTGTTTAAACTACTCTGGCCGTAAAAACTTACAATGTAGCTATAACTTGAGACCATTATTTAAAATAACATTCCAATTAAGCATAATTATTAGCTGAGTAAAAGTAGTACTGACTGTAAAATTAATGGGAGGCAAAAACTTTTGTGGAGTTAAATATTGTCCAGCGACATATCTGCTTCCATTAAGAAGAGAATTTTAATTAAATTCGAGGAATATTAAGCACATTGTGCTGCGTTATAAAGATGAATGAGATTCAGTGCGTGACTCACAGGGTACCCATCTGGGACCCAGCTATTAAAAGATTAAGTAAAAATCTTACTGTTTAGCTATCCCTGTCCTTTTAGACCACGTGGGTTTCACTTTTATGCTTACAAGTTTGTGGATTGGAAAGCAAAAGTAACTACCCCAACCAGCTGGCACTCAAGTGAGGGGGAAATTTAATATCTTTAGCTAAAAGGATACAGGTTACCATAGGAACGCTCTGTGTCCTGGAAAGATGGGTCCTGCTAGGGGCTCTTTGCACATGGCCACTGCCTGCCTTCCCCCACCCCCTTACAGACTTTACACTTGTCCACGGTACAGCTCCAGTGTTTAGCCAAGGAAACAAATTCAGAAGCACACTCTCTCTCTGATGGTGAGAAAACACCAGATCTATAATTCTTGACTCCAGTGACCACAACTGTTTCTTTCTTGGGATCACTTTTGATGTCTGCAGAAAGGGAGACTGTCACTCAGAACGGCACCTGGCCATCTCTTCATTGTCCAAGCATGCCATCCAATTATTCCTCTAATTGCCAGCAAGCAAAAATGGGGGGTGGGGGGTGAGGTCAGGTGCTGGCTGGGCTTCAGGCAGCAGGGAAAATATGGGATGAGTTTGGTTGGGTTATATGTTGGGTATATTAATCAAACAGAAATATGTTACGTTGGAGGAAGGAACTGTACACAGGTAGAGGTCAGTGAGGCATTATGGAAAGAAGAACAAAATAAGGAGCAAGAAAAAATTAGATAACGCTAGTCTCAGAACGACAGGAATCAACCGAGCCAAGCCAAGAATTTTACCAGTTTGACAGAGGTGTCGGCAACGACTGGACAGAGTATGGGCCACCCTTGGATGCCGGCAACAGGCCCCTCCCTGTGATGAGGATATCATGATGCTGAAAGCATTTACAAAAAGAGAGACATAGAAGTGTGTGGTCTGGTCAGCTCCCCCAGGAAGGACTGCAGGAGAGTTTGGGAGAGGGTTTGTGTGGGGACAAGCGATGAGGTCACAAGCGGAATGGACTCTTTGTGCAGGAAAGAGCTGGATTGGCAGGCTTGGAATTTCTTGTCACGGCACATGTGCTGCTGACAACCGTGAGATGAGCTAAATGTCTTGTGTATTCACATTGCCTCATCTGCCCTGCATGTGTGAGGCCCTCGCTGCCTGGGGGCAAACCTTAGAGGGAGCAAAGGAGGGGCATCCATGGGCTGCCACCATTTGTCACACGGAAGAAAAAAGGGGGCTATGAGTACGAGGGAAGGGAGAGGTAGGGGAACAACACATCTCTGTTCTTGTTCTATTTCCAAGGCACCTTTCAGTATCTCTTTGGCCTGAGAGCCTGTGTTGTTTATCAGGGTAAAGAAGAGGATGGACATGTCATCTCAGGCATCTGAGTGGCAGATATCGTGTATGTGTGTGATGTGTAAGCACAATGCAAAGGAGAAAGGCTACCTTAGAACATTAAACAAAATAATATGGAAATCTAGAGAAAAAGATTCTTCAGTTTTGAATACATCAATCCACATTCTTTATGCCACCAACAGAACATGGATAAAGGCAATACTAGCCTTGCACATCCAAGTATAAAGAGGATGTAAAAACCACCCTCATATCTTTTCTAATAGCTGATATGGACCCCATCTGAAATGTGATGACAATATATTCATTTTTTTCAAGAGACACTTGGGGAGTACCTACTGCGTGTGTAGTACGAAGCCAGGCACAGAGGCTGCTGTAAACTGTACACTCAGGGAGACAGCCGGGCCAGGCAGAGCTGGGACAGAACTGTGTCCCAAATTGCTGTGAGGTCCCATGGAATCAGCGCCTACCTGTGCCTTGCAGAATCAGGAAGGGCTTCACAGAGGAGGCTAGCTCTTGAGGTGTAAGCAGGAGTTTGCTGGCCAGATACCAGAGCAGTAAGGGAGGTAGATGTTTTACCTCAGGTGGATCCTACAGACTGGAGGGGTCGAGGTGGGAGCAAAATAACGGGAATCTTTGGATGGATGGGTCCCTCCATCATGTCTGGTGCAGCTCAGATAGAGACCCACTGAATGGCCACCTGGATGAGCACGTGGCATCCGTCTAGGGCACTGAGGACTGTGTGAGCAGCACGAGGGGCGAGCTGGCAGATGGCACATGCTTTTGTCCTTCTCCCATTAAGCTGGTAGTGCAAGGCCTTATGGTCCCTGCACAGGGCTGCAGCTCACTCTGCTGGGAAGGCTGGGCCAGGCTGTCTTTAAAGACACAAAATGGAAGAGAATCTTCTACACAAGCCACCCTTGATATAAAACCACATGACAATTCTTATAACTTTCCCTCATTTTCACCTAGTTCTGAGTGTATCCAGTTTCTTTAATGGGCATCACACCACTCCATAATTGGTAGAATATTTCAATAACAATACATTTTTTGTTGTTATTGTTGAGGAAGATTAGCCCTGAGCTAACATCTGTGCCAATCTTCCTCTATTTTTTTTTTTTTATATGTGGGTTGCTGCCACAGCCTTGCTGATGAGTAGTGTAGGTCTGTGCCTGGGATTTGAACCCATGAACCTGGGCCACTGAAGTGGAATGCACCGAACTTAACCACTACGCCATGGGGCTGGCCCCAGTAATGATACATTTTGATCTTGAGTTCCTCTGTCAATTATGTTGCATACTGTTTACCTCTACAGTGTCATGGACAGACCCTCGCTAAAATGATTTTGGGCTTAATGCATAATTATCTCTAGCTTTCTGCCTCTGTCAGGACACATTCTACAGGCATTTAATTTTCCCTCACAAAGCTTATAAAAGAATTGGTCTATTGAGTCTCCAGCCCACATTCTTTGCATGTATATTAAGTATAAGCACAATAAAATCTGCAAAATAACACCTCCACAAATCAGCACTCCAGTTATCAAGTCGTTACAGAACTGGCAGAGGTTCCAGGCAAGAAGGGCTCCAGCCCCCAAGAAGAACCAAAGACCTAAATTCTATTCTCAAAAGCCACTCAGTCAATGCTCTTATGAAAAAGGTAAAAACTTCAGAGGCAGTTGTAAAAGATTCTTCCATCTGCTAATTATGTCAAAGTTTCCAAATTTTGTACCCTCAGTATAAGTCTCCTGAAAAAAAGAAAAAAAAAATCCCCAAAGGAATACTCTGGGGGTGTCACACGGTTTCTCAGCTGCAGAAACTCCTTGGGGACACAGCCTTTCTGTTTCCCTGGTAACCTCCCCTCAAAGAACAGCTGTTTTAGCACCACAAATGGGACTCTACTACAAACAGGAGGCTATTACCGTATATATGCAGGAAATTATAACCCCACAGTTCATTGATGTATCTTGCACTGAGGATCTACGCCACCTTGAAACAGAGAAGCAGCATCAATTTCTAACCCAGGTGCAGAATGCTGTCAGATAAGGGGTTTCTGACACCACATTGCACATCTAAACTTTGGAGTTTTCAAGGAAACAGGACCCATGGGGCCACTTCACGGTTCAGATTGATACTGCTCTTGACTCCTTTATACACAGGTGTGCTGTGCTGTGAGCCTATCAAAACCTGGTTTTTTAAAAATCCCACCAAACTCCACCCTTCTCCCAAATCCTAGAACTCTATCTTTTCTTTTGTTTGGAGGGACGCCCATGCTTCCTCTGGTGTGTGGTCTCCCTTGTTGCAAGGAGTCAATAAACTGACTTTGTTGGGCTATGGATTTGTCCCTGGTGGTCTTAGCTGATTGGGTTAGGATAACGGGATGAATACAGGATTAAGATTTTACTGGGAGAGCAGGAAGGGAGCTGTAGTGTTGGCGAGTGTAAAAGCTAGGTAACTAACACCCCAAGCGCCAAAAACATGTTTTTTTCTGAGATCCTTAGATTTGAGAACGAGTTTCAACTGGCATTTGTGTAAGTGTTCCACAACCTTGACTTGTACGTCAACTTTTAGATCTTGAACCATATGAGCGTATTCTGTGATTATTAATGACACATTGTGCAGGAAAGGGTTAACTGGGTTGCTCAATCCCTGCACATTCCAGAGAAAAGCTTGTCTTCAGAACTGGCCCTTCACCAGGGCTGGAGACAACCTCTGAAACCTTGGAACATTCGGCCAATAGGAGTGTTTTTCTATGTCCTGGGCCATGCTGCATCAGTCTGACAAGATAGTTTGTGCCAACAGTGTGATTCATGGTGAGGGCCTGTTTTTGTATGCCTGAATCCTTGGGCCGTATTGTATTAGCGTGACCTCTGGGTGCTAAAGGCCGAGCAGCTGATGTCAGGAGCGCAGGAGCTGCACGCCTACATACTTGAACCCCAATAAGCCCCCTGGACACCAAGGCTCGAGTGAGCTTCTCTGGTTGGCAGCACTGGCTCATGTTGTCACACGTCACTGTTGGGAGAATTAAGCGCATCCCTGCGTGACTCTCCTGGGAGGGCACACCGGGAAGCCAGCGTCTGCTTTCTCCTGGACTTTGCCCCATGTGCCTTTTCCCTTGCTGATTCTAATCTGCATCCTTTCACTGTAATAAATTGTAACCACAAGGTTAGCAGCTTTGCTGAGCCTGAGTCTTGCAAGTCCTTCCAGTGGATCATTAAGCCTGAGGGTGAGGCCTGAGGTCTTCGGGACCCCCGACCCAACATGACAATAACGAGTCACCTCACAGTGAGGCTCAAGGATGGGAGGGTTTGCCATGTCCCTTGGGCGCCCCCACACATTCCTCGCTTAGGGATCTGCAGAGACCCTCGTATCCCATGCGTGAGCTCACCTTTCCCACAGGTCGTCGAGCACTCCGTCGTCCCAAGCTGTTTCCAGTTGTGATCCCGGCTTCGCCGTGGGGGCTGTGGTGCCGGTGGCACCAAATTGTCTGGATGATGGGAGGAAAATCTATCTGGATGCCTGACTGGGAAGGTGTGTGCTGATTCCGGGGTGAACATTTCAGGTGCCCCACCATGCACACCTTCCTTCTCCTCATTCCTCTCTTCTCCCTCGTCCTGGCTCCTCCCTTCTGTGACCAGCTGGCCATTGAAAGGCTCCCCTAGGAGAGGCAAGTGCACACACACACACACAAGTAAGATCGGACGTCGAGTAGTAAAGAGGAAATTGCTTCAACATTAGAAATTAGGTAGCATGAGATCACTTCTAATTCATAGCACATATATTTAAAATAAGCAGATACTAATTTCTCCAATATTCAAAACATTATTAAAAATGAATAAGAAAAAGATGAACATCTCAGTAGGAAAAGTAGGCAAGAGCCATGGAGAGGCAATTCACATAAAAACAGGCAGCCAGAAGTCATAAAAAAATGTTCAACTTCACTCATAATTTAAAAATTACATGTGAAAACAAGAACAACAATGACAGCTCTGTCTACCTAACAATAAAGATTAGAAACTTTGGAAACCCTTAAATGCTAAACCCCTCGTTGAGGGTGCAGGAAAACACACTCATACACTGTGGGTGAGCCTGCAAATAGACACAAATGTTTGGAGAGCAATTTGGCAATACCTATCCAAATTTTAAATGCACATACATTTTGACCCAGTGATTCACTTTCTAGGATGTTTGTTATATGAATATTCCCATTCTTTTACATAAAGCTGTATGCACAAGGAAGGTTACTAAAGCATTCTTTGAAATAACAAACAATAGAATGGACTTAAATGTCCACCAGTGGTACCGGTTAAAATAAATTATGTTACAACCACAAATGGAATATTATGTTATTTTTTAAAAGAATGAAGCAAATACATGTTGTGACATGGAGATATGACTGATATGTTGTTTGCTGAAAGAGAAAAAGCATAGTAGAATTCAGTTTGTATACACACACACTCACGCACAGATGTGGCAGGACATTTTTTGAGAGATTAATTTGTGTTTTGTTCTTTAACTTTGTTCCTCCTCCTTCCCCAGTTCGAGTTGCCAAGCCCTTCCATTTTCTTGCCTTGGATTTTTGCAGGAGAACAAGCGAAAGCTGCTGGAAGTCAACAGCTCTTCCTTCCCACAGTGAAAGCCTGAGCTCTCAGGAAGGATGACAGGTTCCAGAGGGGCCAGCCGAGGGGGAGGAGGAGAGAAAAGTGGAAAGTGCTTTTTGAGAGAGAGATGTTTCCAAGGTGAGTGAGGAGAGGCAGGAGTCTGAGGTCCTGGGGTTCCTGAGCATCACACCCTTCCCTCCACCAGGCAGGCATCTTCCTCATACCTGGAGTGTGTGTAGGGAGCCCCCATATTGACTGAGGTTGAATTTTCTACCAGTTTCAAAGGCGTTTTAAGTTGAGGTTAGATTTAAGTTGACTTATGGAAAAGAATGACATGTGATGTTCGTTGTACACTGAGACTGTAGACAAAGATTCAAATCGGCTGTGAGCATGTTTGTACATGCATAGAGAAGTGCTGCAGAGAATCCCAAAAAATTGTTAAGAGAGAGTCCCTCTGGGAAGGAGGAGAAGGGGAGAATTTGGGGGATATTGCTTTTTTTTTTAAAAATAGATTTTATTATTTTTTTTAGAGCACTTTTAGGTTCATAGCAAAACTGAGTGGAGCGTATCTAGAGTTCCCATATCTCTCCTGACCCCACACACCCACAGCCTCCCCTACTATGAATGTTCCCCACCAGAGTGGTACATTTGTTACAACTGAGGAGCCTATGCTGACACATCATTATCACTCAAAGTCCACAGTTTACATTAGGGTTCAGTCTTGGTGTATATGCTACTGGTTTTGAAAAATGTATAGTGACAAGTGTCTACAATTATAATATCATACGGAATAGTTTCACTGCCCTGTGCTCCACCTGTTCATCCCTCCCTCCCTCCTAACCCCTGGCAACCACAGATGCTTTTATTGTCTCCATAGTTTTGCCTTTTCCAGGATGTCATATGGTTGGAATCATACAGTCTGTAGCCTGTTCAGATTGGCTTCTTTCACTTAGTAATGTGCATTTAAGGTTCTTCCATGTCTTTTTATGGCTTGTTAGCTTATTTCTTCTTAGCACTGAATAATATTCCATCGTCTGGATGTACCACAGTATATTCATCCATTTACCTACTGAAAGACACCTTGGTTGCCTCCAAGTTTTGGAATTATAAGGAAGTTGCTTTTTACTTTATATATTTCTATTTTGATTGAATAATGTTCAAGTATGTATTGTTTTCATACAAAAGAAGGAGGCAAATTCCAGAGTGGCTGCAGAACGCAGTTAAAGCCTAGGGCTTTCTCCACTCTTCACCTCTGCTTTCTGCCTTAGTTGGCTAATTCCCGTACATCACAGTTTCAAATGTAATATGCAAATTAGACCAACAGAAGCAAGACCAGGAATATTGGTATAAATGAGACTGTCCAAGATATTATCAGGCAAAAACATTTTTTAATCTTTTGAGTAGCTTGTACGTGCTGGGCACTGTGCTAGGATGGACACCCAATTTATTCAATACTCTCCCCCTCCCAAATAAAACATTTGAGTGTAGGTTTTTTTCCTCTCTATTTTGTAGACTGGGAATGTGTTCAGAGAAGTTACTGACTTGCCTGCGGATGCACAGCAAGAAAGTGGCAGAGTTGGATTCAAGCTCTGGCCTCCTGACTCTCTTGATACGGAGGATGAAGCCTGGTCAGAATGCCCCCCCCCACCAACTTTTTACAACTGACCCCTTCCAGGCCTGCCCTGTCCCAGGCAGCCAGTCCCAGAACCCCATGCTACCCATTAGCTGAGACCCACTGGGCTTGTTGTCAATCATCATTACTCTATTTGATTTCAAATAGTCTGTCCAATTGCCTCTATAAATCAGCAACAAAATTCAGCAACCCCAAGATTTTGCCATCTGAACTTGGTTTCTCAGACTGTGTATTGCTCCTGGAAATTGCTTAAAAATTCTGTCAGCTTAAGTGTGCTGACTTGGAGATAGCACAATTCATGCACCCCACGTGCCAGGCACACCCCAGGCGATTGACTTCAGGCAGCCAGGTGGCTCCTCCCCACCCTGTGACAATCAGATAACCTGGCTATCCAATCAGCAGCCCAGAGAAGGATGGATGGGCCAGGTCTCACATCTGTCCCCTTGCTTCCTAGGACAGGCATTGCACCAAGTAACCTCCAGCAGCATGACAAGCACAGGGGCTAGTCACCAGGCTGGCCTGAGGTCACTGTGGGACAAGGGCAAGTGACTTAATCTCTCCAAGCTTCCATTCCCTTACTCTTAAAATGAGGCTAATAATAATACCTCCCTCTGAGCACTGCTATGAGAATTCCACAACTTAAGTTATGAAAAGGACTCAGCAGTGTCTCGCACAAGCAAGGACTCAGTGCGTGTGAGCAATTCATCATTAATATTTCTGCAGAACTTCCTGTTCGACAGATGGAAAAGACAGGCTCCATTTGGGTGGTGGGCTCCATCATCATTTGGTAAAGAAATGTCTGCAGAGCCAGAGTGCTGGGCCATACCCAGCAACAGCCAAGTGACAGCTACCTTCTCTGTCATCAGAGCCCACAGGGAAGAGGTAGGTCGTTAGGTGTGAACTCATTATTCTTTTCTTATAGGTCAAAGTGGTGTTAGCAGGAGCAAAAGGGGAGCGAGAGAAAAGGCATGTGCTGGACAGAATAATGGCCCTCTGAAGATGTCTGTGTCCTAATCCTCAGAACCTGGAATACGTTTCCTTATATGGCACAAGGGATTTTGCACATGTGATTAAGTTAAAGATTTTGAGATGGAGAGATTTCCTGGATTATCTGGCTGGGCTCAATGTGATATAAGGGTCCTTATAAGAAAGAGGCAGGAGAGAGAGAGTCAGAGAAGGAGATGTGATGACAGAAGAAGAGGGTCAGAGTCAGAGAGAGATTTGAAGATGCCACTCGGTTGGCTTTGAAGATGGAGGAAGGCGCCATGAACCAAGGAATGCAGGTGGCCTCTTGATGGTGAAAAAGGCCAGAAACAGATTTTCTCCTAGAGTCTCCGGAGGGAGCATGGCCCACCAACACCTTGATTTTGGCCCAGCAAAGGCCATTTTGGACTTCTGACCTCTGGAACTGTAAGACAGTAAATTTGCGTTGTTTTGTGCCACTAAGTTTGCAGTAATTTGGTACAGCAGCAATAGGAGACTAATATAAGGCATTTCAAAATGATGAACTCGAAAGAGAGACCCAGGATGTTCACCTCATTTTTGAATCAAGTGAATGAAACACTCTAATCAGTGAAGGTTCAGACAGAGGGTGAAGCATCCTCTGATATCAAGGCCCACTGACTCTAAAGTATGTGTCCATGGGTTTTCTCTGTGTCGACTGAGAGACCGAGGGCAGCTGCACCAGAGGAGACAGGCAGCTCTACAAGGAAATGATCCGAGTGCTTGGCAGCAAAACAAGGGATTTTACCTGGTCTCCTGTGAGGTGGCACCTGTGGGCTGATGGCGTTGGTCCCCATGATGACGTACTCGTAGTGGACTCCTGGGTTAGGCTGCTGGTGTATCATCTGACAACACAAAGGTCATTGTCACTGCATGGGCACGTACACACAGCCCTTTCCTGCTGGCTTTGGTTTCAGTGGTAGGAGTGGCACTATCTGTAAATGAGTGGGTTGATTCACATCTAATAATATTGGTCGACCTGTGACCGATTAGACGAAAGCTATTTCCAGATGGCTTTTTGTTATTTGCTTTTGAAGAATGAAGAACTTAGTCTTTGAGAGAATCAGAAGACAACTAGGCTGGAAGTCGAGATTTTATAAATTCCAAATAGGAAGATGGGAGCAACAGTAACAGAATCTTTCTGTTGGTTCCCAACCATCCTACACCAGGGCTTGGATTTTGCTCACTGCTCTCAAAATGTCCAAAACAGATACGTGTTTACACTACAGAGAATCCGTTTGAACACTAGGTGGAGAGATAGAGTCATGCAGAGCCGGCCCAGGATCCCTTAGGTTCCTCTGACCAGGCTGGTTCAGGAAGGTCTGCCCCAACCTGCTGCCTTGTTGACTCCGTGGGTCCCATCCCTCTCACCCCTGGAAAGCTCCAGAAGCACAAAGAGGTGGGGTGAGGAAAATAGGTATAAAGGAAGTAAGTCTCCTTGGGTCCTATTCTCTCAGGAACCGATGACAAAAGCTGCACAGGGCTGTGGAAGTCAGCAATTAAACATTGTCTAGGACCAAGACACAAAATCAATCAGCGTGGTGCAGCAGAGTAAATCCCTCCCTACTGGCTTTGGAGCACAAAATCCTTTGTGCCAGGGCTTTCTTGGTGGGAAGCGGGTGGTAGGCTAAACACAGCAGCAGAATCAGGATCTGCAGTGTAAATATGAGCCAGGCAAGGAGCCACTGTCACGTTTGATATTTCTGTCTCTACTGCTTTATAAGGGGCTGTCCTGTAGACCAGCTGAGCAAGACCCTTCTTCTCAGTTTGTGATTTCTTCATCTGGGGAAGGAGGAGGTTAGAATCACCTCTGATCTCTTAGGTCCTTTGGACTGCAAGCATCTCTGAGTCACTCCTGCACGGATGGGTCCTGTCTGGTTCATGAGAGTGTCTCTTCTGTCCATTGACACCATCATCTCTTACTCCCTCCCTACTTGTGAAACGGGGCCTCCATTCTATAAATCACCCAATGGGAGGTGGACATGAGAACCTCCGGGATCCTTACACCCAGGAACCGTGATGTGATGGTGAGCACAGAGCCCCTGAGAGATGTGGTGGTGTGACCTCAGGTTCCTGCTGTCTACCCCTAATCTCCTCACTTTTCTTTTCACACAATTGGGCAGTCGGTCTGAGGCCAGAAACCCTCCCTCCCTGTTCCGTGCCTCTTCTGCATGAGCATTCTGCCAGTGCAAACTTTGTCCCATTTATGAAATTATTGTTGACCACCACATCCTAGACCACCCATGTGGGCCTTAACAACCTGGGTTTTTACTCCTGATGCCATTCAAAACTTACCCTGAGTCCAACAACCAACTGGGCAGTCTAAAAAAATATTCAAAATTAACAAGGCTTCCTTTATAGTTTCTAGTCCATGAGCCACTAGGCCCAAGAGGAATGAACATGTAACTCTATATAGTTGGAGAAGTAATATTTATAAAACGAACATAGCAAATATCATGTAGACTAGTGTGGCTTTGGAGATTGTAAGAGAATGTGTATCTATGGGTGAGCTCATTCTTTTTATCAATACGTGATTTCGAGCTTTTATTTCTTGTCACCTTTTATTTCCTGATCTTTTTAAGGAGACTGGATTCTAGTGGTTTCTTTTAAAAATAAGGACCATTTTTAACTCTTGGGCAACTTAATAATTTAGTTTCTCATAAAATAAATCAAAGTTCTGTCTTCTGCGAAGCAGGGCACTTTTAGTAAATCTCTACATTGTGACTCCAAGCTTTCCTGCATCACCTGGAGTACCCTGGAGTTCTCCTTTCTTCATTTGCTTTAACAGAATTTGAAGAGGGCTAGGAACTGTGCATGGTCTTGTTTTGCTTTAGGCAATTGCTTTCTTTTGCCATAAAAAGAAAACATGCCAAATTAGTATTAGGAGGAAAGTGCCTGGAGGAGATCCAATGTTCATGAAATAAAGGATATGTTTTGCCTCTGCTTTGGTTAAACAAGTGAAATTGGTTTTACTGGGTCAATAGACTCTGAGGATAACAAGCATCTGGTAGAGTTTTCTACGAGTCAGGTACATTTGGAGGTGAATGGCAAAGATGAACACCAAGCATTTAAGGGCCCTCAAAAGGCTCGGCTCAAATGGTTTTATTGAGCATGGGCAATGACTTGTTGCTTATTTGTTCTAGGTGTGGCCCTTAGAAGCAATAAGATACAAAATCCAGAGAACAGTCCAGAAACATCCCAACTCACATAGACATCCAAGATCTCATTAGTGGGACCTTCGGCCAAAAAGGACTCTCCAGCAGTGCTTGAAATCTCATTTGGACGCTTGTAGGTGAACATTGTCCCTCCCCCCTCATATTTTCCAGGCCGGTCAATTGCCCAGTTCCCGTTGATGATGGAGCGGCCAGAACGACTTCGCAAGGCTGTTGAGAGAAATGAGACAGTGGCTTGGGTAAGCCTTGTGTGTGCACAAGCAATGGAACTGCCCTGTTCCCCCTCTCCCACTTGCTGGTTTATTCATTCACCACATTTTTTGTTAGGATCCACTATACGCCAGGCACTGATCTAGGCCCTGGGGCAGGATGAGGCATCTAGATCACATCCCTTTGGGCTTAATCACTTCTTCACCCCACTTCAATCCCTTCCACCACTTGGGCTTAGTAAATAGAAATGAAGGGTGGGAGTGGTTAGGAGAGAAGAAAAGTGGAAAACAAGAGAGAAAGGAGAAGGTTGAGGAGGAAGATAAAAGGGAGGGGAAAGGGAAACTGTATTATATTCCATTATCTAGGTGAGAGGTTGCACACTGGCAGCTCATGAGCTGATTTTGGCCCACAAATGGGCTTAGTTTGGCCTTTGCAGTGTTTTTTTAAAAAAATAATTGAACCTAAATTTAAGAATTGGGAATTTTCACATAAAAAATTTAGAGTTCTAGCTTCTCTTATAAAACAAGAAGACATGTTAACATTGGCTGCATTCCCTCAAGGCAGTAATCAGTTGGAGCTGTGGAGGTCTGCCCGTTTATTTTATTTTATTTTATTTTTTTAAAGATTTATTTATTAAATTTTTCTTCCCCCCAAAGCCCCAGTAGATAGTTGTATGTCATAGCTGCACATCCTTCTAGTTGCTGCATGTGGGACACGGCCTCAGCATGGCCGGAGAAGCGGTGCATCGGTGCACGCCCGGGATCCGAACCCGGGCCGCCAGCAGCGGAGCGCGCGCAATTAACCGCTAAGCCACGGGGCCGGCCCGGTCTGCCTGTTTAGATGGGGCCTGCATGCTCTGGTTTGCTCTAATCCTCACCACTCCATAATACTCCCCAACACTGAGGCTAAGTCTCAGTTTATTATCCATTTATTTATGGATATGGCTTATTTATTCCATTCATGACCATGCTTGCATTATTATTTTTCTTGTAGAATAAAATTTTTATTATAATTCTTTCTACTTGTATGTTTACTACAAGTGGCAAAGCTAAAGACAGGCCAAGAGGGTCACATGATTTTCTCCTACCTGGTCACCTTCATTCATTTATATTACCTTCCTGACTTCTGTGGGCTTTTGAGGCTGTGAGCTATGTTAGATACTTCCACAGACACTGTCAAAATTAATCCTCACAATATTGCTAAACAGATGCCTATCCCCATCTTTCAGAGAGTCGTTGAGGGACCAGAGGGAACTTGTTCAAGTTCACGAAGATGGTAAGTGACAGAACTGTGATTTGGAGTCCACACTCAGGAGGGAGGTAAGAAAGGAAGAGGGGCAAGGAACAAGGAGTTAGGGTTAAGGAGCGAAGAAAGGACCGCATGTAAGAGAAGACTTTCTTCCCTTAGACATGTGGCACCTTGAAACCCACAAGCCAATGGCAGATTGGGTTTAAAGGAGATCCTGTTTTAAGTGCCATGTACATAGTGGGCCTGTGATGGTCACTGGCTCTTTGTACCTGCACTTTATAGAGTTCCTAAATTTAATTCTTTACAATGCATTATAGAAAAATTTATACATAAACAAAAATAGTGATAACAGTGTAATAAACTTCCATGTACCCATCACCCAGCTTCAACAACGATCAACCCATGGCTTATCTTGTTTCACTTTGCAAATCCCAGACCCTATTTATTTTTACATTTTTCAGTAGATGTCTCTAAAATACAAGGACTTTTTGTTTCTTAAACCTAGTTTCTACTATGGAGTCAGTAGCTCAAAGGGGTAGAAGAGCCTCCAATTTCGAGGCAGCCTCCCTGCAGACTCTATCCCTGGTCGGCTGGTTGCCATGGCTACTGGGAGACCACAGCTGTGGAAGCTTGCATACCAAATTATAAAATCAATATAAATTATTGAGTGGCAAAAGAAGGCTCAAGAGTAGAGACTGAGGAAGAACAGGTTTCGGGCTGTTTTCTATCAAAAACCACACTTCTTGAGAGTGGTCCATATAGTGTCTCCATTTCCTCACTTACTCATTTCTCACCCATCTCCAGTCTGACTCATGCCCCCATCATGCCATTGAAACAATTCGAATCAATGTCACCAAGACCTCCATGTTGCTAAATCCAATGGGCATTTTCCAGGCCTCCTCTTACTAGATGTCTTAGCAGCATTTGGCACTACTGACCACTCCGTCCTATTTGAAACACTCCTTCACTGGTTTCTGGGATGCCACACTCGGCATGCTTTCCTCCTGCTTATCTGTTCTTTCTCTTCTGTCTCATCTTTCTCTACTCAGCCATTAAATATTAGCATTCCTTAAGGATAAGAGTAGCCCTGCTTTGGGTGCTGTACTCCTCTCATGGGCAATTTCATCTGTGCCCATGGCTTTAATTGCTATATTCCAGTGACTTCCAAATTTATGTCGGCACTTTAGACTTTTCCTCTGGTCCCCGACTTCTTTATCTAATTGCCTACGTGACAGCTTCACTCAGATGTGTTGTCCAAGATTGAACTCATCCTTGACCTCTTGTTGTTTCCAATTTCAGCAAATGGTACCACAATTGAATTGTTTCCAATTTGGTACCACCATTACCACCATCCATCTAATTAGAAAACTAGGAATCATCCAGGACACCTCCTCCCTTCCTGGTCCCCTATATCTAACCCATCATGAAATTTTATTTGACTTCCTCCATATTTTTTTAACCCACCTGCTTCTCTTCATGTCTACTGCCATAATCCAGGGCTGTGCTACCATCAGATCTCATCTGGACTCAGTCAAAAACCTTCCTATTGGTCTTCCTCTTTCTCTTCTTTTCAGCCAGAGTGATCTTTTCAGAATGCAGATATGATCACCAAATACAGCTCAAAATCCTTCAATGGCTTTCTATTTCTCTAGGACAAAAAACTTCCCAACCATTAGTGGGGCCAGGGCCCCAGGGGATATAATCCAGCCTCATCTTGTGTCACTGTTTTTCTCTCTGTTCTGCTCCCGGGCCTTCTTTTAGCTCATCTAATACATCACGTTCTCTCCACCATGCTGTTCCTTCTTCCAGAAATGCTCCCCCAACCCCAAATCCTATTTGTTCTTTAGATGTCAGCTACTCAGGGCAGTCTTCTCCCACCCCAGTCCAGGCCTGTCTCTTCCCTCACAAGCTCTAAGAGATGCAAGAGCCTTTCCTTCAAGGCACTTAACTCAGTCTGTACACACATCCATTCAGAGCATGATCTGATTAAGGTTTGTCTCCCAGTACACCGTAAGCTCCCAAAGGGCAAAGACAGTGGTGTTTCCTCACCCTTACAGCTCGAGTGCCCAGCCTGGTGCTCACCACACAGTAGGAACTTATGTTTGCTGAATGCAGAAATACACAGTAGAAAAAGGCAAGCAGCTCAAAAGAAAGATAGGCAAAGAATGATAAATAGGCAATTCACAGAAAACCAAATACAAATATTCTATAAGCCAATTAAGAGATGCTCTACCTTACCTATGATTTAAGAAATGCAAATTAAAACCACAATGGGATATTCTTGACTCACCAGATTGGCAAACATTTAAAAAAATTTAATACTGCCAGTATTGACAGGTGTGTGACGAAGCAAGCACCCATAACATTGTTGGTGGGAATGTAAATGGATTCAACCATATCGGATGGCAATTTGGTTACACTGTTAAAACTTTAAATGCCCATACCCTTGACCCAAGAATTCTACTTCTAGGAAACTACTTGAAAGACATACTTCTACGTATACAAAAGTGTTTGTAACAAGGATATTCTCTGCATAATTTTTTTAAATAGAGAAAAAGTAAAAAGAACCTAAATGTCCATCAATAGAGGATTGCTTAAGTAAATCCTCTGTTGGCCCTAAAAACAATGAGATAGGACTGTGTGTGTGGGTATGGGAAGAACTCCATGATACATTTTTAAATGAAACAAAAATGCAGAACAGCATGTTTGGTATGATCTCATTTGTATATACTTTTAAATAAAAGCATATACATAAAACATGTAGGCATATGTATAAAACTTTTTAGAGAAAGATAGTCATAACACTGTTAACATTTGGGGACAGGAACTGGGGTTTAGGCTGGGATGGGAGATGACAAGGGAGACATTTATTTCCCATTTTATATCTTTTTACTATGATTTAAAATCTGTTTTACCATATTCATAAATTATTTTCTTTAAAGTTTAAAAAATTTTTAATTAATATAAAGGACACAGCATAAGCAGAAATACTACTGAGGGATATAAGTATTTTCCCTTTTTTATAGCTTCTCCTTAAAATCTCATTCAGAGCATCAAAAGCTCAGAATTGAGGTAGGTTCTGGCTAAGATTTTATTGCTCTTAATGGCAATATTGCAGAAGGGGTTATTATCTGGAAACCAAAAAGTCCATCAAAGAGCCATGTGAAATACTGCATAGGAGAGAGCTGCAGGGGCCTCCCAGGAAGTAAAACATTGCGACCCTGCATCTTTTTACCTACTACTGTTCTCCATGCAGCCCCTCTAAAGGTTTGGATGAATCTTTAACCGCATGATAGCAAACTATAAAAAGAAGCCATATCAGATTTTTAGCAAACATGGTCTTTATTCCATATGCCCGTGGGTTAGCTTCTGAAAGAGCTCTGAAACTAGCCCCCACCTGGCCTTGCATATCAAAAACAGCTGCGTCTACAATTTATGTGCCTGTGAGCAGTTCCAGGGCTATTAATGGTGTCCAGACCTACCCCACAGAAAGGTGCAGGTGACTCATGGCTCTTGCTAGTGGGTGTGTTCACTGAAGGTCAAGCTTTGGCAAAGCCTGTTTGCAAGGCAACCTCACAGCTATGTTAATATGAGGAAATCTCCACTCTCGTTTGGCATTTGGGTTCTATTCCAGTTTTAGTTGTCAACGCTGAGCATACGTATTTGGCCTAAACTATCTGCACCAACGATGCCCTTCTCCAAGCCGCATAGAGGAACCGCTTATATATCCAAGCCCTGCTTCTCATACACTT